GCATTGACAGTTCACTGTGGATTGAGGAGTTCGAAATGAATTACTCCTTTGATGTCCCACCAAATGCAAAGCATTACTTTCTGCGAATGGAGTCCATGTTTTGGGGTCGGAAGTGGTTTTTGTTTTTGGCCTTTACAATTCGAATAGAGAATCCATTTTTCATCACCGGTGACAATTCTGTCCAAAAGTGGTTCACGCGCCAGAAGAGACGAAGCAACTTTCACACGTTGGAAACGATGATCATCGGTGAGTTCGTGAGGCATTCAAACACCTTCTTTATGGAGTTTTCCCACATTCCTTAGATGTTTACGTATTGTTTAATGAAAAACATGCAATTTCAGAGCCATTTCACAAGTGTATTGCCTTGGGTTAGACTCAACAAGCATCTTCAGAGCATCAATATCAATTCGAACATGTCGGCCCCTGCCATCACAGTTTTTAAGGCTAAAGTCACCTGAACGAAATTTGCTAAACCATCGTTGACACTTACGAACGTTCAAAAAAATTTCCATAAACTTCTTTGATATTCTTTGTGGCTATAGAGACGTTGTTTACCATCGTGTATTCAAACAGCATTACATGCCTAATGTGTAGACGTCGTATGCCATCACTATAATGGATTAGAGTAAACTTTACACATTATATAGGCTACATTGCCCTAAAATTGCATATCTCTCATGAAACAATACGTAAACATATAAAGAATGTGGGAAAATTACATAAAGGTGTTTGGGTGCCTCACGAACTCACCGATGACCATCGTTTTCAACGTGTGAACGTTGCTTCGTCTCTTCTGGCACATGAACTACTTTTGTCACCGGTGATGAAAATTGGATTCTCTATGCGAATATTAAACGCCAAAAACAAAGGCTCAGTCCTAGACAAAAACATTTCCGACCCCAAAACCTCCACTCCATCTGCAGAAAGTGATGCTTTGCATTTGGTGGGATATCAAAGGAGTAGTTAATTTCGAACTCCTCAATCCACAGCGAACTGTCAATGCAGAGATCTATAATCAGTAACTGGAACGTTTAAATCAAGCCCTTCATTAGAATCACTTGTCAATCGGGAAAGGTGTTCTTCTTCTCCGCGACAATGCACGTCCACATGTGGCACGTTTGACGCAAAACAAAATTATAGAGTCGGGTTGGGAAGTTCTCACCATCAGATTACCATCTTTTACGTTCGCTGCA